CCACACCGCCCTACACCGCCATCACGTGGGCGACAACTGCCCACAAGCTGTACTAAAGTCACCAGTATGAAAATGCCTGTAAGGAGTAAGTATGTTGCGTTTTCATGTATTCACGAGTTAGGATATATCTTACCAATGGCATGGTATTTGATATTGCGGACTGTCTCGTATAGTTCTCGAAGCTTGGCTCTCCAAACGATCCTCCAAGGTTTATGCGAAGGCACATATTCTGGGACTTCTAGTGTGTGGTGGTATTAGATTGGAGTGGCAAGATGAACCATACCTTAAAATAGCGAGCTGAATTGCTTCTAGCTGTCGAGTAAGGCTTTTGTTGTCGGTACTGGTTCTCTTGAGCTCCTGGAGAACATGGCTTATCTGGCTCCTGTCTTTCATGTCAACTTGGATGATCTAATTTCAGTGGACCGACTACTATGTGATTTAAGAGTATAATGAGGGGTAGAGTTATGAGTGAATAAGTCGCCGAAAACAACCTGGATTTCCCATCCATATCAATAGGAATAAACGTACCTTGTGGAAGCCGTAAAAGCTAGATGAAGCCTTTGCTGAGCTGCTTCTAAATCAGCTTGGAGGATTTGGAGATCATTTTTCTGTCGTTGAGACTTTAGGGCTGCCTTGAGTGCGCTTTTCTTCGAGTACGGCTGTTTAGATCTGCATCGATCTAATGCGGCTGTGATCTTTGACAAGAAGTCCTGACATTTGCTAGCCATGATCTGTATATCTGCATCCTTAACTCCTAATTCGTGAAATTTCTCATGGCTATCCTGGACCTCCTTGAGGATGACACCTGTTTCATTGTTGAGCTCGAGTAGCCAATCATGATATTTTGATAGCCCCGTGGTGGAATAATAGGTCTCTTTTGCGTTTTCGACGCTTTTATACGCTCGTTTGGTTAGAGTGAGCACATTGCAGAACAGAGCTATTGCTACTACCGGGTCCGTGGCAGCAACAAACGTCGTTCAATGTGTTGCGGGAATTGAATATTGACGTGTTGCTCGTCGTATTCGACCTTGGAAAGTTAAGGAGGGGGTTGGTTCGAGGCATTGTCTGGAAAGCTACAGAATATCTACGCGCCGATTTACTTCCGATAGGTTTCATTCCTACAGCCACACTCATGTCCTATGCATGAAGTTGATTCCGCCTTGCGGACTACTTCTTTCGGTACCGGAAGTGCTATGGCTCTAGAAGGCACGCATAAGATAGTACGAAGAAACAAAGGAATTAGCCCTGGAGTTTCCGACATACGGATACGTACCTGATCAATTGGTAGGGTTATCTCCATCATGGCAATGTATATTCATTTCCACATATAATCTAGTTAAACGGCTTCTAGTAGGGCCGATGAGAGCCTTGGAGCCTACATTAGACACTGTTTACTAGGTAGGTATGCATATATTGTAGAGCTTACTTGAAATCTGCTTTAAGTCAAACACTCGTTAAACGCCCCACCCTAGTGCGTACCATATCAAAAATGAAGCTATTTAAATTAATACTTTTATATTTAAAGTTAAATATTTTTATTAAAATTAGTCCGAATTATTTGATTTTTTATCTTTAAAATAAATAATGTAATTTTTTTTTTTGATTTTTTTTAACTTTTTTAAAATTATTAATTTGTTATTATTATTAAGTATTTTAATTAAACTCTTTGTTAATTTAATCTTTAATTAATATTATATTTTTTAAATGTTATATATATTAATAAATGTTTTATTAAGATTAAGTATAATTTTTTTATACTTTATTAACTTTGTTTTTTTAAGCTTTATTTTTAAAAAATTATTTTAAGTTATAATTATTATAATTTTAATAGTTATATTATTAAGTACTTTATTTATTTTCTTAAATAAAAGGCGTGTAATAGCTTTATTAAAAAGTGGTTTAATATTAATGAGATTTTTTATTAAAATATTTACGTTTTATAAATTTAAGGGTGTTATTAATATAATAAAGGTATTATTTTTTATAAAATTAAGCATTAAAAGTTTAAGAAAGAATGTTAAAATTGTTAAAGGATGTTTTATATAGGGTTAAATTATTAATGAGTGCTTTAAGATTTTATTTTAATTTTTAAAAAAGATTTTAATAATTTGTTAATTTGTTTTAATGTTTTTAAATATAAGGTGTTTTTTTTATATAATTTAATAAGCTTTAAGGAATTTTTGTTTGTTTAAGTTATTTTTAAAATGTAAGTAATAAATGTATATAAGTTTTTAATGATATTTTCTTTTTAATGATAAAAATATATTTATATTAATAAGTTGTAAAATATATAATGTATGTGTAAAAAGAAATATAAGTTATATTTTATGTAGAAAATATTTATATATAAATTTTAAAATAATATAATTAATGTAATTGTTTAATATAAGTATTTATTATTATTTAAGATTTTTTAATGTAATTAATAATATAAATATTTTTTTTAATTATTTTAAAGTTATTTTATTAAATGTTTAACTATTAAAAAATATAGTGAATTTTTAATTTTTATATTATATATTATTATTATTAGGAAATTATTATTATTATATATTAGTATTTATATATATAATAAAAAAGTTTAAAGCTTTTTTATTAATATTAATATATTTAATAATTAACGTTTAAATTTATTTCTTATTATTTTTAATAATTAAATGCTTTTTATAAACATTATTTATTATTATATTATTATTTTTAATATTTTTTATGATTTTTATTTTGTTAATGTTATATTAATGTTTAAGTGGTATTTTAGTTACTTTTAAAGTATGTAATTAATTAAAGAAAATGTTAATATTTTTAACATTAATATTATTAATATATTTATAATTAATCCTTTTTAATTAAGTAATTTTAAAATTATTATGTTATATAAAATAATGAATGTGTTAATTTTTTTTAAGCTTATTAAATTAATTAAAATGAGTAAAAAGCTTTAATATAATTTTTTAAAATTAATGTATTATTAATATATAGCTTAAATAGTTTAAAATAATAGCTTAATTAATTAATATTTTTTCTTAATGATAAAATAGTTTTTAAAGAAACTTTAAATAATTTTTATATATAAGTATATTAAATATATAATGTTATAAGTAAATTTATTTAATAAGGTGTTTTTTAAACACGTTTTAAATTAATTTATTTTATATAACGTTATTTATTATAACTATATAACATAGTTAAGTTAAAAGAGTAGGCATTTTAAAAAGTTGAGAAATTAAGGGATAAGAGGATAAGTTTAATTTTTTAATTGAATAGGTGTGTGTTGAGAATTTATAGGAAAAGGTTATGGGTTTTAATGTGAACGCGTTGCGTATAGCAGGTGGTGCGCATTAGGGTGGGGCGTTTGACGGGTGTTTGACTTAATGGCAATTATTGCAGCTATAGCCCATTTTGTGTATAGAATTCTATTTGATATTTAAGCGATATATGCTTAAGTTAGCTCTATGCTCTTGAACGAGGTAAAGGTTTGGAGTGTTGTAGAATCATGTGGAAGAGTGAGAGGGCTTCCTGTTCGAGTATAATTTCGAGGGATAGTAGAGCGAGCCGGGACAAGATGCAGTATTTGTGTAACATTGATGTGCTTTCGCCATGACCAGGTAGGGCAGACGACAGCTACCACTTAAATTCACTTTTAAATAGCTTTTCAAAATCAATCCACATTATTAACCCATGAAATAACTAACAAGAAGCGAGACCCTTCAAGGTTTCATCATTCTACTATTTTGTTCAAAGCTCGTTACTTGACTTAGAGTGCTGATTAGGCTCTATAAAAGTGGAGATCGTAGGGCAACCCCACCAACCACAGGTCTCGCACAATCCAAAATAGGCAAGAAAAGAAATGGCAAGTAATTCTAAAGTCAACACAAGAATGGTGAGTTGTGAATTGACATGATCTAGCAATGTAAGCCAAATATGATGAGTGGCTATTATGTAGCCGTCTTATAGTTTATTATCGAAAGTAAAACCGGATCTTTCTTAAGCAAATACATAGGTAGGTATATATTTAACCCTCACTCCGTTTAATGTTGACCGGTACTTACAAGTGTCGGATATTGGAATCAAAGTAACTTAGTAACTTAGTTACTCTAATTTTTCATACAATCTGTGTTGAATAGATTAATAGGAAATTCATTCATGCGGACTTCATAGGTAATTCAACTACCATACCTACCACATATCTCAACTCGTTAGGGCTCTGGCAAAACTAGCTGCTTTTAAGTCTATGTGTTAAGACCGAACCCCACGGTACGGCACGGTAGGTACTGTTTGGCATGGTGAGATACTGACTCCCGTATTGGAAGCTGCTTGGTTAGGTAGGTATATGTGAGACGTCGGCCTACGGCTCCCAAAAGTGTACAAGGACGCACAACACACGATACCGCGTAACTGTCAGTGGTAGCTAGGGTTGCTACCTCTCGTGCATCTGGGGTAATATACGACAGCAAGATCGCTAAAAAAGGGACCCGATTGCATGCTGTCAAACGACAAGCAGGACTTTCGAGGTAATACCCTCGATTTCGGAAGCATTCTGACTTCAGGAACCATTGTCCTCCGTGTCGCGAGTGCGTCAGGACGAGGCTCCTGACGTGTTCGCGCACCCGAGGATAAGGTATGTCGTTAACCCCGTTCGATGTCAAGCTATTTGTCATGCTCCAAACAAAGCAATCGGAGCAATTCCTTGCTCTTCTGCCTGTTGTGTGTCCGAAGCTTACAAGACTCGTGTGGTGCACGCATGCCTCGTGGCCTTGTACATGGGAGTACGTACGTCATCTACTAGGCCGAATTAATTCTACATATGTACGTTAGAAAGTTTTCTTGAGAGTGGATATCTCGTCTTCTCTCCTTAATAATTTGGCATAATTCAACACACCATTCTCATATAGGTTTATTGGGTGAGACGAAGAGTAAAATGGTCAGTCACATCATTAGCACATAGAAAATAGATTGCACACGAAACCAAATAAATAAAAAGGTAAAAAGAACAAATAATATGCCCAACACAGGAGTCGAACCTGTTGCCTCCTCATTATCTCTGAAGGGAAGATACTAGTGAGGCGCTCTACCGGTGAGCTAGTCGGGCCAGATCGTGAGATCCACTTTTGCGGGTCTGGCTGAGAATTTTTCGATATAACAATCTATAGGTTAGGTACGCTTTGAAAAGGCGTACTAGACTTCACCGCTTAATAAATTAAGAATACGAGACGAAATGGTGGTACTGAAGATGGGGCTTCTACCCAACAGTTGCCCTATATTGTATATTATGCGCTGGTCAAGGGCAAGCTACAATGAGCCAGGAAGCCAAGAAGCCGTAAAGCTAGAAAATAATGCCAAACAGAGAGAAAACTACATACTTCCATGAATAGCAGCAAGATCATGCATGCGAGGCAAGCCCACGGCAGTAGAAACGAACTAATGCGAAAAAATAAAGCGAGAATTCCAAGTTATGCGACTACTTAACCGTACTCAGTATGTAGGTTAGAAACCGAAATACCACGTAATATTTAATCCATTGCTGGAGCCCCTTGTATCAGTCTGTGTCTGCCAATCTTGCATCATGACTCGGAAGCTTAGCTACTCTATTATACAATGGCAATGTGGTTCCCCCCCTCCCCCTTTTTTTTTTCTCGCCCTTTCCTTTCATATCCCTTTCGTTTCCATTCTTGCAAAAATCCGGGCCAAACACAAACTTTTCTCTTCGAGCTGCAAATGCGAATGGAAACGAAACGCCGATAGAAAGAAATACCAAGAGAAACCTGAATGCACCGTCGTGAATCATGTGTCCGTGAGAACTTTAGCTGATGCCGTGTGATGAGATGTTGCCACCCGCCCGTCCGTGAGATCATTCTAAGTCGTAGTCGTGCCGTCGTGCGCGTAGCGTAGCGTGGAGGAAACAATAAAAAAAAAAACTTTTTGGATCGGAAAAAGGGAATAGAATATGTAAACGAACGCTTGCGTGTGTAAATGGGTCGAAACCGTGATGAAGTCCTCTAGTGGAGAGTACATGAGATGGCGAGGGAAGAGTTCGTATGTATAGGGATAGGTAGGTAGGTAGGTAGATGGCCTGATAAAGTAAGAGGATATGGCGTGGTAGCGAATACCTACTTGTCTCGACGTCTTACACCCGATTTCCAATTCTGAACATTCAACGCTTCAGGTGTCGTTTAGCCTTTACTTGTCACCCTTGATTTGCGTACCTCGAGTCAGACGCGCTCCGCTGGAGCTCGCAACCGAAGATGAAACTTCCTCGGTATTGCCGGTGCCACTGGACTCCTCAAGAGACTCGAGGGATGAGTACGGGTTCGCAGTCGGAACACCACCTCCCGCCTTTGACGCACCACCGGCGCCACCAGTCTGCTGAGCCTGGCCCGAGCTAGTAGAATCCGCCATGTTCACAGCCGATGAAGCCGGAGTCGCGTTAGAGCCGCGGCTAGGCGGTGCGATGGGACCGAATGGGGATCCGTAAGACACTGCGTGGGTGACTTAGTCAGATACATATCTCATCAAGATATAGGGGGAAGGCGTAAGCAAAAACAAAATCAACATACCTAGGGGATTTCTCACACCAGATCCCACACCCCGCGTCATACCACGGCCCGCCCCCAAAGTCTTCTGCTCCGAACCATGGAACTCGCCGCTGCGCCGCCAAGTCGGCAAGCCAGGCGTAGTCGGGCCAGGGCCTATTCCAGCACCCACACCCACACCCGCATCACCGCCTCCCACGCCACTTCCTGCACCCCCGCCTCCACTGCGACCCAGAAACCGCTCCCTACCCGACTCCTCACTTCCTCCTCCTCCTCCAGGCCCTATAACCGGACCCGGCCCATCCCGCTGCCGCGACAGATCAGCCTGGTGCTTCTTCCACCAAGCGGGGAAGCCGTGGAACAGCCCGAGCTGGTGCTGCGTGACCTTGTCGAACGGCATCTCGTGCTTGTACTTGCAGCCCTGCTGCGTGAAGGCGCAGACGCCCTCGTGGACCCACTTGTCGCAGTAGATCTTGGGGCGGCGCTGCGGTTGTTGGCTTCCTCCTCCTCCTCCGCCGTGTCCTCCGCCGTGACCACCACCGTGACCACCGTGACCGCCGTGGGTGTGGTGGGATTGGTGGTGGGACGGTGGGTGAGGGTGGACGTCGGGAGTCGCAGTGGTAGGAGTCGAGCCGGGACCCAGGCCGCTGACGCCGCCGCCGGAGGATAGCGAGAGCGAGGGCTGGTGGTGCGAGGGCGGCGTGGGCGGCGTGGAAGCGACGATGGTGTCGATTCGGGACTGTGGCGGCAGAGGGTGTGTTAGCGATGCCTGGAAGATATCTGGTTACTAGGAGGTACAACTTGTGGGACACGGAAAAAAGGCTTGGGCTTTTGGGGGGAACTTGACAGGCTTGGGCTTTTGATGTGGAGCTCCGTTTGCACGGAGATAATGTCAAATTTAATATGTATTCTTTTTAATATAGTGAAGGGGGAAACTGCTAAGAAACTCAAATACGGAAGTGACATAAACGCCATATCCGTGCAGTGACACATGGGGTTTAAGCAAATATCTAGACTTACCTGGATCGTATCAGACGGCGAAGCCGGAGTATTTGGAGGGCTCTAAGCAGCTAGTCAGCATACCAGATCAGAACAAACTATCTCATAAACCAATAGAGATAGATAAAGTCAATAGCAACTAACTCTAAGAGCAACCGGCTCGGTATTCCCCGACCGTCCATTCGGCGGCAACGTTCGCGGCTGCGGAAGCACAATCATGCCCGAGCAGTTCTGCTGCAGCGCCGGAATGTCCTTCAATGGCGGCAGCATATCTGCCGGGATGAGACGCGTGTACTGGCCATTGCCTCTGTCGTAGCAGTAGGCGTAGCAGGAGTCCAACTGCATCTCTGACACCGTACCTGTGCTTGGGTAAGGCATGATTCCAGATGGCTGTGGCGGCTGTTGGGGAAACTGCTCCATACGCGGGCTTGTATAGGGTGGGAGTGCGTGTGATCGGATATTGGAACCGGTTTGCAAGTTTATAGGATGGCCGATAGGAGCGGAAGAAGAAGGATCGAACGGAGTGTACTCTCCGGCACCGCTGCCGCTGCCGCTGCCGCCGCGACCTAAGAGCGCTGCTGCCTCTTCAGCAGCGGCCTGCGATCTCCAGTTGGAGGAAGCGAGGCCCCGGGACTGAAGATTGAGCTGCTGCTGCATGCTGGATCTGAGCGTTTGGCTCTGGAAGGGCTGCTGCGATTGTTGGATCTGGTTGGGATGGGTGCGGTCCGTGGTGATCTTGCTTCTACGTTCGTTGACGGACTGGAATGGGTTTCGATCCATCTTGGTCGGTGGGCAGTCGAGCAGGGTGTTGGGAGTGTGTTCTATATCGGCGGTCAAATTGAGATCAACAAGAGGAGAGTGTGAATTTTGTTTAGGACATGGGGAAATAGCGGGAACAGAATCAGGAGAAGTGTTTCTCGTAGAGGTGTGGGAGTCTCCGGAAGAGTAGTAAGACAGGTCGGAGGGGGAGTTGACAACTGATACTGAACATGGGACGGAAGCGGTGGGGAGGGGAGGAGAGGAGGAAGAGTATGCGTTGGCGGTGTCCATATTGAACAGTTAGGAAAAAAGATTTAATGAATGGCCGCTGCCTGACCCGAGCAATAGAATATCAAAGAAAAAAAAGACTAATCAGAGAGCAAACGGGGAAGAATGGGCACGCGCCGTATTTATACCGCCGTGTGAGAGCCCGGTTCAACAACGCCGGGAAAGTCGTAGTACGAAACAGGGCCTAAGGCGGCTGGCTCTAATAAAACTGTACTAGAGAGTTTAACGAATAAAATGATACAAAAAAAAAGGCGAGATGGGTTTTGGAAGGAGAGGCAGCAAGCCCTTTAAAAGGAGGGCTGAGACCATTTTTGTTGAAGCAAGCTGGTACACACAAGGCACGCTGGGTCCTACGCACATACACGCATAACTAACATCACGACCGTTTGCTGAGAAACCTCAAATAAGGTTAGATGCGTCTTACGGTTACCTGCAGCTCTGTCTTGTGTTTCCCACGTGACAAACGGCTTGTATACAGTTTGACAGCACATAAAAACATACAAAATGTCTTGCTCACAAGTCAATAAAAAGGTCCCTTTTTTCTGTTCATCCGTGTATTGCAGTTCATTACCTAATTCATCTGCCCTTCTGATGCAAAGGAGACAGGGCAGGGAAGGGAGAGGCAAAGAGCAACTATCTACATGCAAGCAGCAAAAAGTATCTACCTATAGGAACAAGTTTACCTATGGGCAATCAAGATCAATGCTAGTCAAGGCGGTTGGTGTGATTAGGAGGTGCAATTCAAGAGGTGTAGTTTGATGGATGCAATTCTAGTGTTTTCGGTACCTTTTCGCAGGCGTTCTTCACGAGATATGCTTGAGGTGTGCTTCGGGTGATGTAATTTGGTAAGTACCTACTCTTCGAGGTCTGCTTCTTCATCGTGGGGTTATTCTTCGTAACTGGTTAATTAAGAGCTCTCTGAAGGCTCTGATGTTAGGGCGATCCACATAAGCCCTGAGAGAATCGATAGCAATCCGGAGGGAGATTTCAGAGTTGAAATCAACGCAACTACTATCACGAAAGGAATGCTGTCGTTTGCAAACCAGGCAGATCCCCCCAGCGCCCATGGGCCAAATAGAAGGGCTACTAAGAGGTGCGGGGCGCAGTGATGGTATCGTGGTCATCTGTGCCGGTCTGGCCATTTGTGCTGGCTTGGCCATCATTGAGGGTTGCACACGCGGAGGAATGTTGGGTGTTGGGGGTAGCAGACTGCTCGGAGGTTGTTGGCGCTGTATTGGTACAGCGGCGGGGGGTGTATTGGAGTGTAACGAGGCAGTTCTGGGCGCCCGCGCCCCGAGATGTTGAGGAGCTCGAATCTGCTCCGTGGCTAAATGAACTGTTAACACCTGTTTTGACTCTCTTCGCGGAGGGTTTCAATGGTGTGGCAGAGCGTTTACCTCGGCTGCCCTTTCCTTTTTCTGGGGCCATGAAGCGCCCGTCTGCTCGATATACTTCATCATCGTCGTCGTCGTCATCGACGTCGTTGATGTATTCATCTTCAACATCCGAACCG